GTCCGAATTTCCGAATTTATAATACTGCTTTAACTACATTTTTCTTTGAGCTTGTTTAATTTAGAACCAATATTACGACAAAACTCAAGTTCTCGTATATATTATATATTTTTAAATAGGTATGAGAATAAGTACAACACAGACCACTGTACTATTATCACAGTGAAATGCAACGCAGACAGTTTATAGTTAGTAAAAGCGAAGTATTTTTAGTTTTTATGAATGAATAAGTATTATATTAAGGCTCAATTTTAGATATTCTTTAGACATAGCTTTTGTGGTAAAAAGAGAACATTTTTCTCGGTGTAGACAACCAACTTTCTATTTTGTTTTTTTTTTTATTATAATGTGTTATGAAACGAATTGTCAAAAAACAAATACGCCGCGATAAAAATAAAATAAAAAATATATTAAAATATACAGGGTGATGCATATTTAAGTAGTTTAAGCAAATACGAGACTTGTTCTGTTACAATTGGAACTTTTTCTTAGTTCAAAAAATATTTATATAGCAAAATGGCGACGCATGTCATACATAAAAAAGCGTTAAGGATTAATGTTAATAATATTCCACTGTTAGAAGTAGGTACGTTGGAAGGAATGTCAAGCAGCCCATAGATACCTTATGAAAGAGCAGTTGTGTGCAGCACTCGCAAGATCAGTGCCATAATTATAAGAAAATATTCGAGAAATATGGAATGTGTTCAATGGACAAGATTCTCAAGTACTTGTAAATACAATGAACCAAATAATTATTGCGTTATCAAAGCTGAACGTGATGTAACACAGTGGTGAAATTTTGTCAATATTGTCGTGCGACCGGCTAAAACCGACCCTGGCTCTCTCGCCGTTATTAGCCATCGTATCGTCTATACCGCTGGACAAAGACAAACGCACTCCGTCTAGAAGTTACCAGAGAAATCTTTCCGCAAAGGCTGATTCATAAAAGAAAGATTTCCAGAGCTTCTAGACTGCTGAGAATCTACTAGAGAAGGGCTGGCTTTATATAAAAAGTGCGGCATTGTTTAGCAGTTCATAGTTGAAGCTGTTATACTGTATATGCACAAATTGGAAAGTTTAGCCCGTCACAAAACATTGGTCGATGTCTTGTCTGCTGCTCTTGAATATGAAGCGGCTGCGCTGGCTTCTGATGGTACAGTGAAGTAAGGATTGTAAAACAGGAAAAACAGGGAAATAAATTCGACCAATTGTTAACCACAATAAAAAAGCTTATAAGAAGTAGCCGAAGACTATCAGGAGCTGGAATTGCGGAAAATAGGAAATGTAAGCAAACGCCCTAGGAACACTACGAATCGAAAAACTGTTCCAGCAGCTGTACAGGAAGGAACGGTGGTACCTGATAGATATAAAACCATAAGAGTAACGCGGTTAAAAGGAACTGCAGAGAAAGGAACGCCTGTCATGGTGAAACCTTCGAAGCGAAGTGAAGGCGAGGAACTTTGGTTAAAAAGGGGTTGGCCACATCTACTGAAGAAGTTGCAGTACAAAGAACAACGGTTGCCAACGACGAATTGGCCCATACCAAAATTAGGGAAGAGCAAGAAAACGATCCCGTTTTAAAGCAGATGCGACAATGGAAAGAGGAAAATTGTTGACCTGCTTGGCAAGTAGTCTCGAAACTCTCTCCAGTAGTTAAGTCATATTTGGTTTAGTGGGACTCTTTTATCCTGGAAGATTTATTAAAGCGAATACTAGAGAAAGATGATGGTTCCGAAAATAGAAAACAGTTGGTCATTCCAAAGACTAGACCGAAGTACTTCGTCAGTTACACGACAGTCCATCAGGAGGACATCTCGGTATTAAGAAAACCCTTCAGAGAGTTCGTCAAAGGTTTTATTGGATGAACAGTTCCGATGATGTAAAGGACTGGTGTAAGAAATGTACCACCTGTGTTATGAGTAATGGATCTCAACGAAAAAGGAAGGCCTCCATGAAGCAGTACAATGTCGGTAGTCCATTTGAGAGGATTGCCTTAGATATTGCTGGTCCATTTCCCATAACCGAGGATAGTAATAAATAAATGATGTTGGTTATGGATTATTTCACGAAGTCAGTGGAAGTATACGCCATTTCAAATCAAGAGGCCGCAACTGTTGCAGACTTGTTAATAAAAGAATGTATCAGTCGATTTAAAGTGCCCTTGGAGATCCACAGTGACAAATTTTGAAAGCCAGCTTTTCCGAGGAATCTGTGACAGATTAATCATGAAGAAAAAGAGAACTACGACATTACATCCACAGTCGAATAAGCAAAATAACAGACATCCATGGGTTAGTTGGCTCGCATCTTCAAATCGCCAGCGACAGAATAAAGACATGATATGATACTCAAGCCACAGAAGGATGTTTCAAGGAAGGCGACAAAGTCTGGCTCTATGACCCAAACAGACAAAACGATTATTTTTTAAAGCTTTAAAAGTATTGGAAAGGTCTGTACATCATCAAGAAAAAAAAATAATTATGTTATTTACCGTACAAGTGAGATCCCGAACGGTAAACCAAAGGTAGTGCACCAAAACCGGCTAGCACCATTTGAGGGTGACCATGACGAGGAAGGAGAAGTAAATCAGCTCCAAGAAACACCTGACCTTGTTGAAGAATATATGTACGCATATGGAGGTACCGGGAAAGCAAGACATGGTGTTACAACCGAGAAACAACAAGTCCTTCTCACGGTTTGTAAAGAATACGCTGGTCCATAGCATTTCCGCCAGCATCAACCACGCCCGAGGACTGTCATCTATTTTACGGAAGAAGTGTGGTCGTTTGCAGGAACTTTATAGTCAGTTACCAGCCCCTGGAAAAGCATTATAACTTCAAGATGGATCGCGGTACCTTTTCTATTTGGTGACAAAAAACACCTGCCAAGATCGATCCACTTATTATAATGTACGGGAAGCATTGCTTAGTCTGAGAGTAAGTTCTGTAGTCATGCCAAAGTTAGAGAGCAACCAGCTGAATTGGAGGATCATTAGAAACATGGTGGAAGTAATCTTCCAACATACCGAGATCCAAATATTCGCCTAGTTTCCAGGCTTTAACAAAAACCGTCCCTTGTTATTTCCATGCGAATGGAAATTGTACAATTCAGTAATAGTTCCAGGAGGAACTATCTCTTAAGAAGGGTCGTGCGACCACTTAAAGCCGATCTTGGTCCTCTCGCTGTTACAAGCCGCCGTGTCGTCTATACCGCTGAACAGATACAAACGCACTCCTTCAATAAGTTATCAGAGAAATCTTTTGCGCGCGGGCTGATTTATAGAGGAAAGCTTTCCAGAGCTTCTAGACCACCGAGAATCTACTAGAACAGGGCTGGCTTTGTATAAATAGTGCGACATTCTTTAGCAGTTTAGTTGAAGTTTATATAAAGAAGTTTTATTCTAAATGTTGTCAAGTAAATATAAATGGTAAAAATAAATTAGAAAGGTGAATTGTAAAATAAATTAAAATAGTGCCTCAAATATAAATAAATTAATTAGTAAGTAGTGTAAATAAATTATAAATAAACTATTTTAAATTAAACAATCGTTACAAATTTACAAAAAATCTACGAAAATTTTTCGTCTAAAATATTTTTGATATATAATTTAAATTATTGGTTTATTTAAAATAGATTGTAAACTAATATAAATTGTTGACGAAATGTTTGATGAAAAATAAAAAAGTGTTTACCAGATTTATGTATAATATAATCTTCCAAAGTCAGTTACTTGAGTTTTGAGGTTTGCTAATTGAAGCTGGACATGGCTTGTATAGTTACTATATATATAATTATTTTTTATAGTTTATATAATATACCTAGTGTCAATTGAACCCAGATGGAAACAATAGAATTAAAATAAAATGGAATTTGATAGAAAATAATAAAAAAGTTTATCAAATCGTGTATAAAAGTCTCATCACCCTGTATATCTAATTTCAGTATTTCAGCCAAGTAAAAGCTCTGATTATTTGATTATTAAAAAACAGAAAACGTCAGTTATCAACTATTTATTGTGCACTTAGTGGAAGAAGATATAAAGTTAATGCCGAAAAACGTACGCACCATGCATGAATAATTCGTAAAAACAAAACGTCCTATATGCATAAAAAATATCTATGATATAAATTTCCCTATCCATTAATTCTTACACTAGTTGAATCACATTTTAAGTTTATATATAAGAGAAATCTTAATCGCCCACTTACATCTTGAATGTGTGACGTTAACAAGTTATATTTTTGACGTTGACAAGTAACATTTTGACGTTTAACAAAAGATAGTTGGCGTTTGAAATTGGCAACAGACAGTTGAAGTTAACAAATTATTTTTACGTTTAAATTTGACTTTTGTGTCTTTGTACGTCAAAAAATCGAGATGTAAGTTAGGGTGACGAATTCTTATGAGAGAAATGTAAAAATTATGCTCCTTATTGCGACTTTTTTACAATTTCACATTTTGATGATAATTATGATGATGATACACGTTTATGTACTGGTAATAAGTAAAGTTTTTTTGTAGAATGTACAAGTTGGGAGGCACATTGAATATTATTATTTATTATTATTAAAATGTAAATGCGTGGAATTCTTTTTAGGACGGTCCATATATTTTTTACACACTTTTTTTAATATGAACACACTGTCTTGATGTCACTCATAGTTTTTTCGAACCCAGTCGTAGGGGAGTGGGGAGATCTTTAACTTAAAATGGTTGGGATGGATAATCAAGAAATTTTGAAACGGTATTATTTTTAAAACATGAGGTATAAAACAAATTTTAAATTGGCCATAAAGTTACTTTGATGAAAGCAAAAAAAAGTTATTCACCACTTTTATCAGACTTTCTCAATAACGTATACAATCTTTATACTAAGTTATCTAAACTTATTTGGGTAAAAAAGTTTCAAAATTTCGTTATCTCTCAACTGCTGTTAAGTTAAACTGTAAGACTTACATAAAGACTGGGGTATTAGAAAACGCGATAAACTTTTTTATTGTTTAGTTTGGAAGAGGATTTTCTTGTCTAATGTCTGATTTGAGTTTGACAAATTCCTTTGCTACCTCGTCGTTTGTGCGTTGTGATAAAATCCTTAAAATGGTCCAACCTGTTTCGTCCATTTGGATCCTCTTTCCAAGCGACAGCCAACAGGCACATGAGCCCTATAAGGAAAATAGATATAAAAATCAATAACAATATCTTGTAGTAGATGCGACGACCGCCGCCAAAGGGTGGTTATCCAATAACAATAAAAATAAATTTTAACAAAAAAAGGCTTTTAATACAAAATCCGTTGCACGTCATCAGTGACGTTACTTATTCGTCATAGTACTATAGTCTAGAGAAAAAGGAGTGCCGTAATTTAATTTGTAGATCGTAGTACAGGTTCAAGAGGTAGACATTAAAGGATAAGTTTAATGCTTATTTGTAGTTAAAATGAAAATTTTAATACATCTAATCGGCCTAATAAAAGTTTTCGTTTAGATTTGCTTCCATGGTTTTTACTGTAATAAACCTTTTCCTTTGATAGATAAGTCAGATTTTATTTATTCATAGCTGTATTTGATTTGGAATTTTGTATTAGTATAATATTACTTATAATTTTTACAGTTGTATAAAAATGGCGATTGCATTAGAAAATATTGCAAGCACAAGTACGCGTAAACGACCTAGTGGACATAAAGCATTATCTTTAGAAGAAAAAATATCGTATTTAAGGTTTTTAATAATTTTCGAAAAGACTTTGTTTCACTTTCTGTGGAGGAAATAACCACTAAATGTAAGAGGTATACTCAGAGATAACGAGGAGATGTAACTACTAACAAATATTCTAAGGGTCACAGACGGGTATAATATCCACTGTTGTCATATGCCTATTTCATTATTCTCATTTTGTTTAAAAAATTATTTACATATATTAAAAAAGCTTAAATAATTCAATCTATTTTATTGCAACTGAAACCAAAAAATTTTGAATCATTAGTTATATTAAATTTAACTAAATTAGATGTAATTTCACTAAATTAGATGTAATAATTTTTAATAAATTCCAAAACCTAGTGATGTTAGGTTGGAAGTGGCAACAGGGCTTACACCGGCATGGATATTTACATTGTTTATTATAAGCGCACAGCGGCATACACATTTATTCATTGATAAAAATAAGTTGTATTTGCGTAGAATTCTTCTCTTTATCCCTTCTCTTATTTCTCACCTTTCGTCGCCTCAACCCGTGTCTACAAATAGAGTGTACCGATTGTCGAATTAATGTTGGCATCGTGAATATTATATTTTATCAATGACTGCTTATATCTCTGTTATCTCTGGGTATACTGAAGTATCTAACATTATTAATGAAGTCTCACATCCGAAGAAACTCCCAAGAAGAAATAATACCTTTATTGAAACTTGGGTAAAGATTTTAATTTCCTTTTTTCTTTCGAAATAAAATTCCTAAACTTAAAAAATTACGCTCTTCCTAATATATCATATTTTCATCTGCAAAAATATTACATGAATTTAATTTTCGTTACAAAAAACGTGAAAGAAACAGCTTTTTAACAGAGAAAGACGACATCATTGCGTGGAGACATGATTATTTAAGGAAAATAGTGGAGGCAAGGAATCATCATAAACATGTATTTTATTTAGATGAAACATGGGTTAATGTTGGACATACAGTAAGAAAACTTTGCAAGATACCTCCATTAAAATTAAAAAACAAGCCTTTATGGAAGCGGTCTCTTGTGGATTAAAAAATCCAACAGAAAAAAGAAATTGTTTAATAATAATCCACATTGGAAGCACCGATGGAATTTTGCCAGATCGTTTATTAATGTTCGAGTCAAAGAAAGTAAAAGGCTACCATGAAGAAATTGAAATTTAGTTTTGGAACATTATAAAAAAAATCCAGCCAACTCCATTTTTGTTTTGGATAAGGCATCCTATCACAGTCGATCATAGGAGTCATGGAAAAAAGAAGATATTTCAAAATGGCTTCCTTCTAAAAATACTATCAGTCCTCCAAAATCCTTGAAGGCAGAATTACTCTTAATAGCATGGCAACATAAAAACAAATTCAAAAAATATATTATAGACGAGATGGGCCAAGAAAAAGGAATTGAAATTCTCCTTACGACGCCAAGTTAAATCCCATTGAACTAATCTGGTCACAATTAAAAAGTTATGTTTTTCGAAACAATACAACATTTAAATTACCTGTGCGAAATTTGTTTTTAAAGGCAGTTTCAGATGTAAATGGAAAACATTGGAGAAAATGCATTTATTATGTTAAAAAGGTGGAAAATTCATTTTGGAATATGGATATACCAACGGAAAACTTAATAAACCCTATAAAAATAAACCTTGGAAAAGACAATGATAATAATATCAGTAGTTATAGTGAAGACAGTGACTTTTGAAGATACTTTTTCAATCTATGATTTTAGGTACTAAAGTGTTACTTTTAATGCCAAGAGATTAAAAAAAGTTTAATCCCATTACCAACATATAATATTCCTTATTATTTATTGGTTAAATTTTATTCGTTTAATGTTAAAGTGCAACAATTTTGTAAATAATATAACTTTTTTCGTTTAAAATTTTATCTACGAAGTGCGTATACACCATTTTATATGCCCTAACACTATTTATTTTATAGAAAGTACGCCTATGAAATGTGACGTTATATCAAAGTATATTAACCGTTGAGTAGCGACAGCTGGGGAACGAAATTCTAGTGCGCCGACGCGAAATAAAGAGGCGAGACGTCTTCTAAAGATGTAAACAACCCCTTTTACTTTAGTCCGGCAGCTGATATAGGAATTCGTTGTTGTGGATTTATTAGTGCTCTTTTATTGTGTTTTTGTTAAGATTTTCTGGAGTTTTGTGGGGTTTTAATTATGTCAGGAAATGCATGTGCTTATCGACCTTGCTCGATAAGGTCTGGTGATAACAAATCACTTCCAAATTGTTGTATAAATAACTTGTCAAATCAGATATCTCTGTGAAACACTTTAAACGTGACTTAAAAGTTTTGAGTAACGGGGCGCATTATTAGTCAAAAATTGTATTCAGCGACATGTTTAAACAACGGCAAAATATATAGTTTGAGACAACTCGATTAATAAATAAGAAGGTCCATAAGTAATAATTTCTATTGTTATCAAAAATCAAAACCCTGTGCACTTACCAACTTTCAAGTCTCTAGCTCATCCGGACGTAGGTAAAAAAATTGAAATTTATCAATAGTGATATATATTTTTATATTTACTACATAAGTTAAATACTCATAAATATAAATCTGCCTAATGACCAAACCTTTATTATAAATGTAAACTACAAAAGAGTTTTACTTCAAATTACGTCGAGCAGTGTAAACATCACATTCAAGACCAGTTCATAATTCGAGCAGTGTTTTACTGTGTCGTTCCGTTAATAACGTCAAAAGAGAGAAAAAGAAAATTTGCACCACCCAAGATCAAAGGCACCGACGATTTATGTCGCTACTCAACGGTTAATATACTTTGGTTATATCTTCACTTTTACTGCACTCATCTTTTATTCAGACTATATCAACTAATTAAAATTTCCCTCTAAGGATCCGAAACATTTTACAAATATACACCAGCAATCATAAACGTAGTTAATTTACTAAAAAACTAAAAATTTAATCGTCAATATATTTTTTACCTTTTCTACAATATCTTTGAGTTGCATGACAGCAACACCAACCAGTCTATCTTCTCTCGCGAAACAGTAATCCTTGACACAAATGTGAAGTTCAAAGCAGTCTAACTGTTCCTCGTTTCCAATAATACTGAAACATAAATTATCATTAAGAGAAATCTACTTTCTAAATAAATCAATATAATTCATTGAAGATCTTTTAAACATCAATTTATGAATACAATTTGGTAGCCTCTTCCTCTAAGGCATATACCGCGCCTGATCACAGGCATTCTAACTGGTCATTGCCAAGTACGGAAGCATCTCCATTGCATGAGGCTGTCAGACAATCGAGCTTATCCTCCACTATTGTCCGATGCTCTCATTTATTAGAAGATTTGTGTAGGGTGAGAATTGGCTAACGCCGGCCGATATAAGAGAAGCACCTCTTGGCGACGTTGTCAACTACATTAAATATATAGAGGCTGGGCTCACGAGCTAGGAGGTGAGTAATAACTTAGGATGATGTCAAATAGACCTACTGAGGCCTAAGTGCCGTGGGTTAACCCACCCTCCACACGTTACATATACAGATCATAAAACTTTTCAATATTTAAAAAAGGTTTTAAAAATAAAATAATAATTAGAAGGTTATCCATATCTCAAATGACTTTTGAGTTATTCCTTTCCTTTAAAATATTAATTCATTAAATCCTAAAAAATATATTTCTCGCCTCTTTCCCTTTTCGACCACGAAACTCTACATATTGACAGATGACGTTTTGGAACTGGTTTATGGTATTCTATGAAGTAATCCACAATAAATGTTTCCAAAGAAGATCTTGGTAAAATTCACGTAAACAATTTTAAGTATAAGTTTAAATTTAATTCGAAGTCGTGCGTAGTTATTTATTATGGACGTGACTATCACTATCTCTGTCTTTGTCGGTCATGACCTACTTTAGAAACATTTTTTTCGTGAATAACCCTTTTTTTAATAAAACTTTTACTTACAAATGGAAGGTTTCATTGTATTTGGGTGACCAATTGTTTGACTTAGATTTTGTAGCATGCTTTCGTCTTTTGTCAGCCAAATGGGGACCTATGAGGTTGATTTCGACGAAAGGTCGGAACATTCCTGATACCAAATTCCATTTCAAATCATTGGCGGCCACCACTAGAAGACAAAAAAAAATTATAATAGAGGAAGATTTCTATAGAGAGGAAAGTGTCACTTAACATCCTAAAATTATTAAGCAAAAAGGGGTATAAAAAATTAATTTGTACTTACCTTTGACGGTGACCTTATGTTCTCCAGTTCCTGGATGAGTGAAGAGATCAACCTGGATTGAAACTTCACCCACGCTTCCTTCTGGACCATCAACGTTGTCTGCAAAATATTTTTATTATTAAAAAAAAAAAAAATATAAATTGAAAATTTAACAATTTTTTGCTTGCGTTTCCTATGAAGTAAAGCTGTAATTTAAAAAAGTGTAAATAACTGCATGCTTTCTAAAAGTTAGATTTCTATGTAACTCTAGATGATACAGATTATTTTAAATCCTTTGGACGGTATCTTGGTGATAAACAATATTACTCGTGTATGTTGAATGCTTGGTAAAATAAATATGATCAGATAAGTAAATAAAAATATGATTTTCGCTGCATATTTGTATATGTAGATAGTAGATACCTATTTAAGTTTTACTTAAGTAATTAAAATTGGAAATGAAAATTTTAGTTCTCCCTGTAGATATTTTGATATTTTTATATTTTTAATTTTTTTAGATAACTCTTGAAGAAAAACTAAAATTTTCAGATATTTTCTTATACCTAAACAAAACTAAGCTAAATATAAATGTGATTGTCATTTTATTATAAAGTGTAGAAGTTGAACAAATGAAGTGAAAAATATCGAATTCGTGATAAATTCCTGTAAACGCAAAAGCTTTTTGAACCGGATGACAACAAGTCAATGTACGCCCCTATTTGATTTTTCTCTATTTTTTAAATTTAAAATTATATTTTAAATCTATCTCACTCCGTTCAAATGAATATTTAAGTAAAACAAAGAAACGTCATAAATTATCCCAAGTGACTAACACCGTAAAGACTGATTTAATATTCCAGAACGGCCAATAAATTTACCACTATTTTAAGAGTTAAAAGTTTTTTCAATTGTAACTAGATCTTTTATTAAATCAACATGCATTCTTAAAAATCACTCATAGTTTAATCTAGACTTATTTCTAATGGTCAAAATTATTTGTTAAAAACTACAAACATTCGTAAACTATCACACAACTACAGAATAACATTTGTAAATAAGTGTGTTGTCAAGTATCATTTATTTGTGTTACCAAAGACTTAAAAACAATCAATACAAAAACTGTATTGACAGAAGCACACATTGCAGAATAAGAAATCAATATCATCGTCATCATCTAGGAATATCCTCATAAACAAAACTATTTACAAAATATTTAGAACAAAAAAAGGTAGGCGTTTTCTACAAAGGCCCTAATGGTAGACATTTCCCAATAATCTGTTGTTTTTTATGCTTATTCTTTGTTACTTCCGATTGTTTGTTTCGAAGAAGTCATGATATTTTAAAATTGCAAAAATAAAGAAATGAGTAGGGGCGTTGTCATCAGGTATAGGCCTTAATGCTAAATTTGAGTAAACCAACCTGTAAAGAACTAGTTTATTTAACAAAATCTAATTCTATTTACTACTAGCTCAAAAAACTAATGATCCGTTTTTTATCGAGAATCCAGCAATATTAATCATTTAGAGTATTAATTAAGTAGGAAACCAACGAATGTGACGAGCCATTTTTTTTAAAGGTTGAAACAATTCATTCTTCTGATAATAAAATTTTTGACAAGTCTTTAAGGTATTGTAACGACCCAGATTAGTAAATTCACCGATGAGATGATTTGATATCTACAGTTAAGAAGTGCCAACCGTGGTTAGTAAGTACTTGGATGTATGTACCCAACTGATACTTTAGAAGGAGCACAAGGGATAGTTTTCCCTCGCTGGAAAGTTCCCTGCATTTATAAACAGAAACGGATTAAAATATAACCACATCTTTTTATAAAAGAAAAAATAACAAAAATTTAGCTGAATTCTTTGAAATATGCAAAAATGCAGAAATTTGGTGTTTTTTTGGGTGGTATTTAAAACTTTATTCTCGATGAAAAACCGCTCACCAGAAATCTAAAATTTGATCGTTTATTTTAAACGAAAAATAGTTTTCATTTAAAATAAATCTAAACTTTTCGCAAGAACTCATGAAATCAGGACTAGCTTTGATTTTTTTTTGTTTTTTGCATCATCAAACGTAGTTCTACCTTGTTGGTTCTCGCTTTCCTTTCTCTTTTTAGCTTTCAAAGGTTCCTCTAGAGCTTCAAGTCCTGCCTCAGTTTCGAACTCATCTCTAATAGATAATTGTCTTTGGAGCATGGTGTGTTTATTGTTTAGCGGCACTTGAGTATAAGGAATACACCATTTAAGTAATCAGGTCAACAACTAAAGACTTTATGAAAGTTTATCATTGTATGGAACAATCCAATATTCTAAATATACCTTTGTATAAGTAAAACTCTGTATTACTCAAAAATAATAAAGTTAAATTACAACAACTATCAGCGGTGAATGTAATGATAAATCCAATTTTTCCTCACATTTTCTATATTTTTTCCAAATATTGAGTTTTTTTTATAATTTGTTGAAATAATTATATTTATTTGAGAAAATACTTCTTAAAATTCCCACCACTAGGTTATCAGTACTAGCAAAGGTAATTGTATTTCAGGAAAGCCAGCCAAAATAGTTCTTGTGCCAGCATAGATCACTGTTTAATTCCCAATTTAATTTTAGTTTAGTGTTAGAGTCAGCGAGTTAGGATATCGCCACCACTGGGGTCGACGGTATCACGTCTGCCCTGTTAGAGTCAGCGAATTAGGATATCGGCGCCACTGGGGTCGACGGTACCACGTCTGACCGTTGCAGTGTCCAGGACCAGGAGAGAGCGGGGACTTGACTTTCGACCAGCTGAACGCTATGAAGTAATAGGCAATATGCCGTTAAAGACATTCTTTATTTTGTTCCTTAATAAATTACATTATAAACATTGTTTACGAGATATTCAATAAAACATTTTAAAACCATGTTAACACGTGTTTTGTGAATTGGCTGGCTATACAGGGTGTTATATAGTATACAGGGTGATAAATCATTTTAAAGCAATAATTTTAAAGTTAATTCTTTTAACTTATAACATTGGGATAATTTCAAGAAGGGGGTGATTGCAAATTAATCGGTGCAAATTTTCCATGGTTTTCCCAAACAAGATAACGATACTGGTAAAATGCATGTATTTTCTCCAGACTCTAGACTCTTATTACCTAAATGTTACGATATTATAAAACTTCACAGGAGTAAACATTAAAATAGTGTACTCCAACAAAAAACCATAAAGGGCGTTTAACATTTTAGTTGTTCTGATAAGCAATTTATTATTTATAAATATACAGGCTAACGAAAAAAGTAATTAATTCATTATTTCGTGAATCGGTAACTGTAGAGGAAAATTCTGAAAACAATCGATTTTTATATTTTATACGGATATTTTTTTTATACGTGACATCTGTGTTAGCGTGATGGTGTCATCGATAATTTTTGAATTAAACATGTGGGTCATGCGATATCTTTTCTGAGCGGTCTTTTAATTGTCTATCCAACTATATTTATAAGATTAACTATTTGAGTTTTGTGAACTCTCAATAAATTTATTTATATAATTATAAAAATTATTAAAAATATTACATTTTGTTCTCAAGTATTTATTTTTTTCGACTATTTTTAGGTACTTAAAAGCAAGTTTGGTAAGAACCGTTATGTAATTCTTACTCAATTTTTGACTTTTTTTACTTTTTCTAACGTGTTTGTCTCTCTTTTATAATATGTGATTTTACTTATCAAGACTGCTACATATAGATTCGATTTAATTGACTTTTGTGTCAAATAGTTAATGGATGATATCATTAGAAACATCCAATAAGAATCCAAATTCCAATAATAAATCGTTGTGGAGACACAATCAGGACTAAGAATGATATTTTTGATTTGTTAATAAATAACCCAACCGAGACCCAATTTTTCAATCCACAATAAGCAAGATTGAAAAGAAATTTAGACAAACGGCCTAATAGATAAAGGAGATACATACAAAAAAACCAAGAAACTAGCTGTTCTACTATCATTTCTTTGCATACTAGTCACAGTAAGCGCGGCAGTAGGTAATAAAATTAATTCTTTTTAGAACTCTTACATAGAAAAACATGCATCGTTATGTAGTAAATCTAGTTCAAAAACTCTTGAAAGAAGATTTTTAGAAATTATAATGGAGAAGGTAATATTTTCTATAGCTATTGTAGCAGTGGCAACTCGTGGTTAACACCATTGTGTTTTCTGCTAGATTATGCCTCCCCCTTTCCCAAAAAGGAGCAATTTATATTTTACAGCTTTTATTCACCTACTTTTTATACATTAATAATTATATTCTACGGTATTTTTATCAGCAAACTACTTTTACTCAAAGGTTTATTTAAAAAAATCTCCTTTCGTTCATAAACTACATCTATGTCTCTTATGTACAATAGAAATGTGCGCTAACAAATTAACAAAAACTTATAATCTACAAAACCGAAATCGAATCACATCACATATGCGACAGACTATAAACAAAGCTCGACGATCTGGCAAAAGTGCAGTTTAAACACTACGTGTCGTGGTGTTATCTTTTAGAAAGCCGCGGGGAATTGAGACGATGAGCGCGGGCAGCCCAAGTGGTGCACAGACCGTATCGAAGTGACCCAGGCTAAGAGATGAATATAACCTGGCAAGCTTTTGTTAACTGTTAAACTAGTCCGCTCAGGACTTATTCTCAGTTATGAAATGAGGGTAAGATACGTTAGCGCGCTATGGATACATTTAATAATTAAGAAAATGAGATAATTATTCATAAAATTTATTTTATATTTTATATTATAGAATGTCTTATAATTTCTGTGAAATGTAAATGAGATACTTGCACTTTTTTGGTAATTCTGCAGCTCTACAGTACCAGCCGCCACTGTATGGCAGTATATATTTTCTGAAGTTATCTTGGTACATAATTGTACTACATGATCCCTTATGATTTAGAACCATGAAGCTAATATGACTATTTAAAAATAAAATTAAAAATGGACGAAAACAATTTCTGGAAATCAAAAATACATCGAAACACATAAAACTAAAAATAATTACTTAATTATTAAAATTTTAACAAATAATTTATTTTAATACTATTATTGCTTCTAATGTGGTTATTATTTTATTAATTTTGTTATTACTTTATTTTTTTTTGTTTCATCGACTTCAACTGCTAAGGTTATTTCGCCTAGTGTTCTGCATAGGCTTTGTTACAGTTTCCCAGCGCTACTTTAGGAACAACACTGTTAATGGTCGAGTGAGGAATCCTACCAAGGCATCAGAATTAATTTTAAATAATTAAAATAAATAAAAAAATCCCGGCCAACAGTGGGATTCGAACTTGGGACCCTTGGATTCGCAGGCAGAGACTCTACCACTAAACCACCCACCCTATTTTCATTATTATTATTATTATTTGATACTGTTACGCAGGTTTTTGGTATCTCAATTTATTTCAACTTAACTTTATCAATAATTAATCTAATAACAACGTATAACGTCTACCGTAAAACTCCCCACTGACGTCAGGATATCGACTTATATAGCTTGCTTGACCCTTCTCGAACCTTCTACAACTGTCCAGATTTTTCTTGACAAGGAATGCCATTTCCAGACATTTCAGGATTAGTTCTTTCAAGGCCGTTACATTTTTATGATAGCGCCATTTTCTTGATAGAAGTTTAATTTTAATATAAATGTTGTTAAGTAAAGATAAATTGTAAAAATAAATTAGTGTGAATTATTATAGTGCTTAAATAATATATAAATTTATTAGTAAACTATAAATAAATTATAAATAAACTGTTTTAAATAAATAAACTATTTTTAAATTTAGTAATCGTTAAATTATAGACAATTAAAATGCTTTTCAAAAGAGGTATTGCATGATCGATATTTACTTTAAAAAAATAATCGATGAAAATCATCCCGTTCACCAGATTACAAAAATATCTCGCGTTTAAATATACAAATCGACGGATTTCAATATTTTCTTCCATGTTACCGATTTACGAAATAATAAAATTATTCTATTAATTTGCACCATATTGTGCATTATTTAATTTTTTTTTCTATTTGGTAGGCATTTTCCAAAAATAAACTTTCATAAAATCTTTTCTACGTAAAGGATATTGTGTAGTTATATGTATTTTGTATAAAACATTGTCAAATAAAATATCTTACCTTCATTAATTTGCGTGGTAACAAAAGTCTTAATAAGAGTATCCGTTGTCTGCGTATACAGCGATAACGCGTATCGCAAACTCTGCAGCTCAGAACTTTTATCCAAAAACGCCTTCTTCAGCCCGTTTCCGCCCGCATGGAAATACTGCTTGATGGTATCTAAGGCTACGTCTAGCACGGCGCACTGTTTAGGCGAGAGATTCTTTTCGACCTCTTTGGAGATGTCCATCACACCGCTGAGAGCGTTTTTGACGTCTTGTTTGCCTGTCATGTGGTTCTTAAAGAGTTTGGACATGTCTTCTATTTTCGTATTGGCCGCCAGGTTCTTTGCGTTATCTGTTAAGCTCTTAAACATCATCTGAAATCAAACAAAAGCAAAGGGAGTTAAATAGTGATGATGCGAGACTGGTCTTGGTTTTGAAGCCTTACATTCGGTGCTACAACGTTCATTAAAATTTATGCGCCTAATAAAGTTTGACAGCTTGATAATTTGATCTGCCCAACAAAAAACAACTACTGGACCAATTTTGTTCATAAAAACCGAATTGAGCATTCACGGTGTTGTCCACGCATATTATTTTCTTTAATTACTTTTAATTCTGAATAGTGACCCTTAATATTTTTGATTAAAATAAATAATAATTTGCTGGCATTATTTTGCTTCGGTGCATATGTCGTCGTCAATCTCACAAATTGACATATCTCAAAAATGCAGTTTCGTAATTCAAGCAGCCTGTAAAATTAGGAAAAATGAGATAGGTCACTTTGTGAGTTTGATGTCGATGTGTGCGTTCGAAACGGACCTTTTTGTATTGGAAGAAGGAAGCGTTAATAGTTTCGGATGATCAAATTGTTTTTGTTTTTCGGTGTTCTGCAGAGAAACCTACGGAGGCCCCAATTAGTCCAGATCCCTGACAGACATTCACCAGATGACTTAACATAATATTGGACTCTTTAGTATTTTTTTATTTAAACATTAATATTTTTGTAATACTACGCCGCCTATTGAGTTAAATAGTTCTCTTGCTTCCTAGTTGATAGGATCGTAATTGCTAATTATTATGAGAGAATCTTGTTAGAAGGATTATTAAAATTGCATTCTTTATGCCACAATCCTATAAATTTTCGGCAGGCTCGCCCAATGGAAGGTTATTGGGTTTTACTGTCACGGAAAGTTTATTATGGAAGCTGGGAAGGAAGCCCATGATGAAGAAAAAAAAAACTGAGAGAAATTGATTTGAATTCCATCCAGGCTTCACGAAAGACATCCGATAGTATAGCTAAGTATTGAGTCTGGAACTGGGATATATAGGGTGGTCACTATTACAGTGTAGGTATACCATTGGGATATCCTAAATGACAAGAGATACAGTGTTGGTTAAATTGGAGAAAAGTTGCGCTATTTCATGCCCATTAAGATTCTGCTTTGAAATCTAAAATATCTACAGGGTTTTCAAAATATCGGATAAAATTGTCTACAAGAGTGAGCAAATTTAACTAAATTTAAGACTTTCGTATTATAAGCTATACTAAATCGACTGGCGCTATCGAAAAATTTTCAGACCTTTTAGATTTTGAACAACCATAGCCAACTTTGTGATTTCTTATGGCAGCTATATTGGATTTTTATAACATTGAACAGATAATGAAACTCTGAATTCAACGATACCATATAAACCATAAAAATTTGAGGTTAGAACAAAATTATATTTTTCAATTTTCTGTTTTGCTTTTCTTATGGACGTTATACTGAATGGACTCAAGTGTTTATTACTATATTACTAACAAAACACAACATAAAACCACTTTAGCTAATAATTTTGACAGATTCTGGTACAGCTTCATCTGTTTTTTATATGGCTAATAAAGTGTTTCAATTGACAATGGATTCCGAATGTCATTAACATGGCGACTTGATATTAATCAATAGGTACATACAAAAATGACGTTTTAAGGGAGTAATTAAAGTTTAAAATCCAAAATGCGATAACAAATAAAATAGTTTTGCATAGAAATCCAATATGGCGGCCATAGGAAACAAAAAAGTTGGCTATGGTTGCTGAAAATCTAAAAGACCTGGAAATTTTTTGATATCGTCAGTGGATTGAGCGTAGCTCATAATACCAAAATCAAAATTTTCGTTAAATTTGCTCAAATAATGTGAATAATATTTATATTTTACCCGATATTTTTAAAAACCCTGTAGAGAATTTGAAGTAGATTTTTTAATGGAAATGAAATAGCACAACTTTTCTCTAATTTAACCAACACTGTATCTTTTACCGTTTAGGATATCCCAATGGTATACACTGTGACAACAGAGTGATAACCCTGTATGCCAGAATCATAGAGAAGGGCTAGCGTCACCTTTATTTCAAAAGTAGGGAAAAAGGATACCACACATATTAAATCCTTCTAAAAAATCAGCCTCATATTCTTTGTATCAAAAACAATGGAGAAGGCTGTTGATAATTATATCAGAACAGCACTCCGCCATAGCCAGCACGCGTATCGAGCAGGAAGATCTACAGAAACTGTCCTGTTACTGACGAAAACCGGCATACACTGACAAACAAAGAAACAGTCGTGTGTGTATTTCTAGATATAGAAAGATCGTTTGAGAACAAGCCACACGAATTTGTTAAAAGAGCACTTGCATACAGAGGAGTAGATCATACCACATCTAGATAGATGACTCTATGATAAGTGCATAGACATAGCAGGACACCATCTACATTGCATGACTAGAGGATGTCCACCAGGAGGAGTTCTATCCACATTACCGTGGAGTTTAACCGTAGAGGCACTTCTATGCAGATTGACTGACCTCGGCATACGCTATCAAGGTTATGCCGACGACATTATCAATATCAATATCTTGTGCGATATAGTCTAAAGAGGATTAGAGCACACCAAAAGATGGTACCGTTAGTACAAACCTCACGAAAATAACACTAGTAGCCTTTTCAAGGAAAAGAAAACTCAATCTCGAAACCGTCAAATTAGACGGGATGGATATAAAATTAAATAAAAAAAGAAAACAAATATCTAGGCCTAACCCTGGACAACAAACTTCTTTAAAACATACATGAGAAGAATTTAGTAAATGAGGCCACAAAAGCCCTATTGGTATGCAGAAACATTGCGGTAAGAGATGGGGATGCCATGAATGTATACAGCAATATCAGCAATATCATCCCTTACGGGGCTATAGCCTGGAGTAACAAAACTAGTTTAGTTACAACGAGAGATAATTTTTTCAAAAGTACAAAGACTAGCCTGTGTTTGCATCATCGGTGCAATGAGAACCTGTCTCAAGGCCGCAATGGAAATGATCTTAAACCTTACTCCTCGACATTTAATAAAAAAGAACGTGAAAAAAGGACACGATACAGAACACGAGTAATTAGGAACGGAGTAATCAGACGAAAGTCTATTAGCTGCAGGACCAAATATATTTGGGATATGCGCCAGGATGAAATGAAAAAGAAGTAGAGTTTTGTGAAAAACTTCTAAATGTAGAATTGGGCTGCAAGAAAAAATAGAGATCAGAATCCATCGTGCTTGCAACCAAAAGACATCCTATTCAGTGGTGTACGGATGGTTTCAAAACCATAGAAGGAACAGGAATAGGAGTGTATGGGCCTAGAACCAGGCATACTAAAAGATTGGGAAAATACTTAAGAAGTATATTCAATTTAATATCGAGAGAAACTGTGATAAATAAGAGATTATTATTATGTCCGATAGCCAAGCAGCCATCAAAATGCTGTGCTCTTTCGTAAGCAGCTCAAAAATGGTCTGAAGATGCCTAGAAAAACAGAATGAGCTAGGCGAGGAAAATATAGTTACTCTCACTTGGGTCCCGAGACATAAGGAGGTAAAGCGTAACGAGATTGCCGATAGTCTCGCAAGGAAAGGGACTCAAACATCCTTTGTGGGACCTGAGCCGTTCCTGATGTATCAACAGTAATACAATATTATCAAAGATTAATTAAATGGGCAGTAGAAGAACCGATAATTGCGGCTAAGACAGGCCAATATACTTTTGGGTGCACATACCCAGAAAAAATCGGAAGCCTGTAGCTTAGCAAGAATAGGCTAAGCACTATAACAGGGATCCTTACTGGGCATTTCCGACTGAAAGGACACCTTGGTTAACTAAATGTAGTAGAAGAGAGGACGAAACCTCCATTAAAATTCTGACTAAATGTGTAGCACTCCAGAATATAAGGGCACTATACCTAGGAGCATATTAAATAGAAGAGGGAGATTAACCTAACTTAAAGCCACTCCAAATCCTACAATTCCTTGAGAAGATATGACAGGGAGCACAATCGATCTTTTAGGTCGCAGTGTATTAACACCCTATTCTCAACATAATATAAGTTAGTTAGTGAGTGGTACAATAAATTTCTCAAAATTTTTTAGAAAAAACATTAATCGTTTTTAATTTTAATAACTAGTTGTTTTATGATTTACATTGCATATTGGATTTGTCACAATAGGAACTTCAATAATTTTTGATTTTGACTCTTCAATCAATAATGGGCAGTGGTTCAAAAAAAGTTTTCCAAGAGTCTTGCAAGTCTTGCAGCAAGACCACTACCAAAGACCAAGACTAAAAATTAATGTTAGACCAACACCATGTTGCTCTTAGTCTTGCTTTTGCATATCGCTAAAATTTGTATGAATAAACTCACCGTTTTATCAGTCATTGGCGGTAACACGACAGTCTTCTCTAATATCCTCATGACAATTTTCCACAACTCTTTCAGAAGCCTTTTAAGTACGGTTTTCTCACAAGACTGGGCATACAAAGATAGCGAACCGTCCAGTAGATCCATTAAAGGCCTTAAGACTTCGTCCGCTTCAACGGCTACAGCGTTTCTTTGCGCCGGTTGGTTAAGCTGGCCAGGCTGACCGCCTCCTTTGATCGCCAGCAGGAGATCGGCCAGCTCTTTGACGCTTACTGTTATTCGATGCTCCAAACTAAAACATATTGTTATTATTTACTTAATAAACAAATTATGATAAAAAAATACTGTACCTGCAAGCAAAATGTTGTGCTAATTCATCTAGACTTCCATTCAAGGTTTGTTGAAGTTCTTTCAAAATATTCGCGGCGTCTTCTTCCAGTTTATCTCCTCCCATAGACTCAAACATTTTCTCTAATTGTACCCTCAGTTGCTGTATATTATTCATTAGTATACAAGCCTGCAATTAATAAACAAAAGTTTGTATGGAGAGTCGTAACGTATTTTTACAATCACTTACTATTCTTTCTTCTTTAAGATGTTCAGGAAATTCTTTCTTGACGATATCCGCGTATGCTATCAATACTTTGACTATGGTTTTAGCGAACCTCTTCATGTACCTTTTCCAAATTTCTGGATCGGGACATTCAAGCTTCGAAACAACGTCGAAGCATTGAGTGAGTTGGGTGAAGACGTCAACTACTGAGTTGGAGAATAAGGCGTGTTCACTACTCTTTTGGAACTGAAATAAAAGCAAGATTAATGAGATGGGAAAAACAGAAACACAACAAACACTTACGCAATCTTTTTTGTCTCTATTAAAGGCACCATGTAAGTATTCCAATGACACATCATCGTTTTCATTTAGCCACTGCATGACAAATGGTTCAAACCAGGCCGGATATTCTGGTACCGCTCCCTTATAGGGTGGTACGTCCTTAACGTAATTGGAATACAACCATTTGACTTTGAAGTGTAAATTCATGTACGCCGATGATTTGCAAAGTCTATGCTGCTCGTGTTCTTCTAGAGCGTACTTCATGTCAACTGCAAACAGACTCCACATTGTGGCAGCGGAAAGCTAAACAATGTGTTAAAATTATTGAAAATTAGTAAAAGATTATTAATAAATAAGAAAAAAGTGTGTTACAGAAAACGCCGAGCGACCGAACTATACTGGAAAACAATAACTCCTCTGACTATATGCTAATGAGAACGTTATTCCTGGACCGGTGTATTTCTAAATAAATAAAAAATTAATTAATCGGAAGTAACTTCCATGTTTTCAATTTTTGCAGCCGAAATTAATCAAAATTGAATCCTACGGAAATACCATCTACGTATCCTAACTAATTATTTCTGAAGGTTTTTCAAATCTATCTATTTTGCTTAAGTGAATGGTTTTAAATGATCTGTTGAAATGTAATTACGTATTGTTTTTTGAGTATTATTATTTTATGGTTTTAATGTTTTCAACTGTTTCAAAACGCATTACAATTTTACAATGTATGAATATAAATGTGTTAAAGACCGAACTTACTTGACCGATGTTAAGTTCCTGTGGAAACTGATTCAGAACAGGCCCATAACTGTTTTTATCCTCTTCGATAACTGACACAATCAGCGCTATCAATTTGTGCCAAAAATCCACGCTATCCAAACTAGGACCATGGTCGTCTGGATCCCTTTTCGGTTCATTAGGATCAGCTTGGAATTCCCTATTGTACAATTCGTAGGTGTTCTCAAATAAAAATTGATACGTGGACCGTAAACACGCTTTTACACAGTCTTTGACCACAGTGCTGGCCCGAGGCGGACAAGCCAGCTCCTGGACCTTCATACGAAAAAATGTGATGCTGGTGAGCAGGTCTACGGTGGATTTCAAGTCTTTTAGTTTGTCTGCACTGGAAGCCGGGAAATTGTTTCTGTACATGGAGAGATCTATGCGGAGAGAGTTGTGCAGTTGGTCCAAGAGTTTGACGAATTTTTCTTTCTGCAAACGGAGAATTAAATTTATTGAAATTTGGATCCCTATGGACTCAATTGATTCAAGTTTTAAACAATATATTGGAAACCCATCGTAAACGGGGTTCCTAAAAACAAAGCCTGTAAGATTACTCATAGTTCTTCGAGCCGAAGTTTAAAAATGTATTAGAATTTGTTCGAACTTACCCCAAAATTTGAGGCTGCAAACCTATCACTGGCTGATACAGCTGATAATGCTGTTGTGTGTGCGTAGTAGGCGTTGATATTTGCTAGAAGAGTACTCATAACGGCCGGAACTCCGGGACAAAGATATTTTGTTGATAGGCAGTGAAAATGTCTGTAAAAAATTTAAATAAGGTACTGCATATTCAAACAAAACAAAAAACGCAGAATCGTAAAACGGCAGTAACCTGCCCACCTAAACCGCCTCTAAATCGGTGGGAATTTAAATTTTAAAATTAGTTTAAAATCCAAAATTTTATTACGTATTCACATTTATATCTGATGTATTCCAACACATGACTTTCCATTAAAGTTTGATCTAGGTAAAAAAAAATTAAGTACTTCATGAAATTTTTATGTGTTGGTGCATGTTCTACTGCATAGTAACAAGTTTAAAAACTTTGGGGTCGCTACAAACAGTATAAGTTTGTTTTTCAAAAGAAAGTTAGTCTTTTTATTTCACAAGGTAGAAGTGAACTGAAAGTATAAAAATTTCTAAGAAGTTTTATTGGAAAATCATGTTGTAAACCGAAAAAATTATATGAAAAATATTGCCGAAAACCATATAGCTCAGGTGTTATTGAGAAAAACAATAAACTTTTGTTAATATTTTTGGCTTATAACCTTTTCCAGTAAAAATTCAAGATAGTAGATAGTAGTTCTGATGCTTGTTTAGCACCTTTAAAATAGAAAAACTCTTTTTGAAGAGACCATTCACTATATAACTAGAATACATTTGGGAGATGATCGGATAAATGAGGCCAATAGATAAAATTACTAATTATTAAACGAGTATATTGCATTATCTAAATTTTTAAGCTAAACTTTCCATTATTAAACTAATACAAAAGCGATTTCATATCGACGAAATTTTTGTTTTAAAGATACATTCGACAAAAAAAAGAACAATTCATTACTTACGTCATGGCTTGATAAATGGACTCTATGCCGTATCTCATCGCGAACTCGTCTACAATCTCTTCGGCAGCGTCGTGGAAATAAACTTTCCAAGCGTCGTCGCCTTTGTTTTCGGGCAAGGAAACGACGCCGAGGTTCTGTTCGCACAGATAGTGGAAGAGGTTCTCGTGGAGACAGGTGTACTGGACGTGATAGGGCGCCACTTTTTCCTCGCCCTTAATTTCTACGGATATGTGAAGTCGGATGGCTCCGGATACTGCCGATTTGTCTGTACGTTTCTCTAAGTTGTACCATACGTCCATCTCACCCGACAGTGTGCGTACCTAAACAAAACAGCGTTTGTTAATTATACAGTGAGAATCACTTAATATGGCGAACAACTCCGTAAAATGCATGGTTATAGTGTATCAAATTTTAATTTAATAAAATTGACTTTAAAGAGTAAAAGTAACTTTACTAATCAGAGAAATATCTTTATGAAAGTTTATTATTCTATCAAACAAGCTATCCTGAAAATACATACACCTCTGAGTCTTTTGATAGTTATGCGATTTTACCCTGTAGGGTTGATGTGTGTTGATGAAGAATAAAGAACTTATAAGAATGGAACATACGCAGCTTTGGTGTGGTGGCCAAAGACACAGCAAAGGAAAGCAATAACGAGGCTAAGCAAGGTACAAAGACTTGCCTGCCCCGGAATAACGGGGGCAATGAAAACAACCCCCACTGCTGCAATGGAAGCACTAATAGGACTCCCACCTCTTCACTATGTGATACAAGGGGAGGCAAGATTAGGTGCTTACAGATTAGGGAATACACTGGGAAATCTTGACATTAGGCCAGGTCACATGAGTATCTCAAGGTTAGTGACAGGAGACGTGCTAGACATGAGATCAGACCACATAACCAAGAGGTACTCTTTTAATACTCCCTTTGAGGTTTTAATACAGGAAAGAGCGGAGATCACCATAAGGGAGCCCAATGCCCAACGACAGGAACAAACCTGGCATACAGACGGGTCTAAGACTGCGGAAGGTACTGGGGCAGGAGTATTCTCCAAAAACCCTGATACTAACCATAGCTATGTTATAGGAATACATTCCTCGGTATTTCAGGCCGAAGTATACGCAATTTTGCAATGTGCAAAAACGAACAATGAAAGAGCTGTCGAAAATCAGCATATTCAAATAATGTCAGACAGCCAAGCGGCACAGGCCATATCGAGTCAGAAAGTTACGTCGAGGCTGATATGGGAATGCATCGAAGAACTAAGAACACTGGCAGACCGAAATAGAGTAAAACTATTTTGGGTGCCAGGTCACAACGAAAAGGCTGACGAACTTGCAAAAAGAGGGTCAGAAGAAACACCGGAACCAGACACAAACCCAGGAGTACCAAAAAGTACAGTCCGGGGTTTTATAAATGACTGGATTCGGGAACAACATATCAACTATTGGGGAAACACCCCAAAACAGGCACATGGAAAAGCCTTCATAGGCAGACCATGTCCCAAAAGAACTGGAGAACTACTCTTAATATATAGGAACTAGTTGAAAGTGATAACAGGGTTTATGACTGGGCACGCCCCAGTAAAGGGACACTTGAACAAAATTGGCATGTACAATGGAGAACTCATGTGCCGACTATGTCACAAGAAACCAGAAACGGCCAAACACATACTGTGCGAATGCGAAGCTCTATATCGCAAAAGACAGGCTCTTTTGGACAACCCCAGGTTGATCCAACAACGTATAGAACCCACTCACCCAAGGATCTGTACAAACTTGTACAAGGTACAAAGGTGATAGAGTGGGTGCTATGAACTAACATGGGGTAAAACATAATAAGCCAATAGGCTTCAGTGTTATTCGGAGACACATAGTCAGACGAGCCCAGGAAAAAAAAAATAATGGAAATGCCTGCTCTTGTGACTTATACGATGTGTCCGGTAAGCGATAAGATAATAGTTGCTTGAAAGTGAAATAATAAAATGTTTGGTTATGTAATACGAGAAACCGAGAGAGATGAAGCAATTAATGCTATGTTGAGACAATAAAATGAACTCTTTTCATTTTATACCCTGTTTGTATATGCTTATGGGGCTATACTTGAATGTCATTGGTCAGATGCAACGTTAGATGACTTCACTGTTCCCGTTTTTTGTAACATTCGTTGAAAATGTACGCGCAGTGGAAGACTGATTGATTATTTATTAAATATACAGAATGATGCAGAATGATACAAAATGATACAAAATGATACAAAATGATACAAAATGATACAGAATGATACAGAATGATACAGAATGATACAGATTGATACAGAATGATACAGAATGATACAGAATGATACAGAATGATACAGAATGATACAGAATGATACAGAATGATACAGAATGATACAGAATGATACAGAATGATACAGAATGATACAGAATGATACAGAATGATACAGAATGATACAGAGTGATACAGAATGATACAGAATGATACAGAATGATACAGAATGATACAGAATGATACAGAATGATACAGAATGATACAGAATGATACAGAATGATACATAATGATACAGAATGATACAGAATGATACAGAATGATACATAATGATACAGAATGATACAGAATGATACAGAATGATACAGAATGATACAGAATGATACAGAATGATACAGAATGATACAGAATGATACAGAATGATACAGAATGATACAGAATGATACAGAATGATACAGAATGATACAGAATGATACAGAATGATACAGAATGATACAGAATGATACAGAATGATACAGAATGATACAGAATGATACAGAATGATACAGAATGATACAGAATGATACAGAATGATACAGAATGATACAGAATGATACAGAATGATACAGAATGATACAGAATGATACAGAATGATACAGAATGATACAGAATGATACAGAATGATACAGAATGATACAGAATGATACAGAATGATACAGAATGATACAGAATGATACAGAATGATACAGAATGATACAGAATGATACAGAATGATACAGAATGATACAGAATGATACAGAATGATACAGAATGATACAGAATGATAGAGAATGATAGAGAATGATACAGAATGATACAGAATGATACAGAATGATACAGAATGATACAGAATGATACAGAATGATACAGAATGATACAGAATAATACAGAATGATACAGAATGATACAGAATGATACAGAATGATACAGAATGATACATAATGATACAGAATGATACAGAATGATACAGAATGATACAGAATGATACAGAATGATACAGAATGATACAGAATGATACAGAATGATACAGAATGATACAGAATGATACAGAATGATACAGAATGATACAGAATGATACAGAATGATACAGAATGATACAGAATGATACAGAATGATACAGAATGATACAGAATGATACAGAATGATACAGAATGATACAGAATGATACAGAATGATACAGAATGATACAGAATGATACAGAATGATACAGAATGATACAGAATGATACAGAATGATACAGAATGATACAGAATGATACAGAATGATACAGAATGATACAGAATGATACAGAATGATACAGAATGATACAGAATGATACAGAATGATACAGAATGATACAGAATGATACAGAATGATACAGAATGATACAGAATGATACAGAATGATACAGAATGATACAGAATGATACAGAATGATACAGAATGATACAGAATGATACAGAATGATACAGAATGATACAGAATGATACAGAATGATACAGAATGATACAGAATGATACAGAATGATACAGAATGATACAGAATGATACAGAATGATACAGAATGATACAGAATGATACAGAATGATACAGAATGATACAGAATGATACAGAATGATACAGAATGATACAGAATGATACAGAATGATACAGAATGATACAGAATGATACAGAATGATACAGAATGATACAGAATGATACAGAATGATACAGAATGATACAGAATGATACAGAATGATACAGAATGATACAGAATGATACAGAATGATACAGAATGATACAGAATGATACAGAATGATACAGAATGATACAGAATGATACAGAATGATACAGAATGATACAGAATGATACAGAATGATACAGAATGATACAGAATGATACAGAATGATACAGAATGATACAGAATGATACAGAATGATACAGAATGATACAGAATGATACAGAATGATACAGAATGATACAGAATGATACAGAATGATACAGAATGATACAGAATGATACAGAATGATACAGAATGATACAGAATGATACAGAATGATACAGAATGATACAGAATGATACAGAATGATACAGAATCATAAAGAATTATACAGAATGATACAGAATGATACAGAATGATACAGAATGATACAGAATGATACAGAATGATACAGAATGATAAAGAATGATACAGAATGATACAGAATGATACAGAATGATACAGAATGATACAGAATGATACAGAATGATACAGAATGATACAGAATGATATAGAATGATACAGAATGATACAGAATGATACAGAATGATACAGAATGATACAGAATGATACAGAATGATACAGAATGATACAGAATGATACAGAATGATACAGAATGATACAGAATGATACAGAATGATACAGAATGATACAGAATGATACAGAATGATACAGAATGATACAAAATGTTACATGTTATAGAATATTATGTTGAAGAATGTTGAAGAATGTTGAAGAATGTTGAGGAATGTTGAAGAATGTTGAAGAATGTTAAAGAAAGTTGAAGAATGTTGAAGAATGTTGAAGAATGTTGAAGAATGTTGAGGAATGTTGAATAATGTTGAAGAATGTTGAAGAAAGTTGAAGAAAGTTGAAGAATGTTGAAGAATGTTGAGGAATGTTGAAGAATGTTGAAGAATGTTGAGGAATGTTGAAGAATGTTGAAGAATGTTGAAGAATGTTGAAGATGTTGAAGAATGTTGAAGAATGTTGAAGAATGTTGAAGAATGTTGAAGAATGTTGAAGAATGTTGAAGAATGTTGAAGAATGTTGAAGAATGTTGAAGAATTTTGAAGAATGTTGAAGAATGTTGAAGAATGTTGAAGAATGTTGAAGAATGTTGAAGAATGTTGAAGAATGTTGAAGAATGTTAAAGAATGTTGAAGAATGTTGAAGAATGTTGAAGAATGTTGAAGAATGTTGAAGAATGTTGAAGAATGTTGAAGAATGTTGAAGAATGTTGAAGAATGTTGAAGAATGTTGAAGAATGTTGAAGAATGTTGAAGAATGTTGAAGAATGTTGAAGAATGTTGAAGAATGTTGAAGAATGTTGAAGAATGTTGAAGAATGTTGAAGAATGTTGAAGAATGTTGAAGAATGTTGAAGAATGTTGAAGAATGTTGAAGAATGTTGAAGAATGTTGAAGAATGTTGAAGAATGTTGAAGAATGTTGAAGAATGTTGAAGAATGTTGAAGAATGTTGAAGAATGTTGAAGAATGTTGAAGAATGTTGAAGAATGTTGAAGAATGTTGAAGAATGTTGAAGAATGTTGAAGAATGTTGAAGATGTTGAAAAATGTTGAAGAATGTTGAAGAATGTTGAAGAATGTTGAAGAATGTTGAAGAATGTGGAAGAATGTTGAAGAATGTTGAAGAATGTTGAAGAATGTTGAAGAATGTTGAAGAATGTTGAAGAATGTTGAAGAATGTTGAAGAATGTTGAAGAATGTTGAAGAATGTTGAAGAATGTTGAAGAATGTTGAAGAATGTTGAAAAATGTTGAAGAATGTTGAAAAATGTTGAAGAATGTTGAAGAATGTTGAAGAATGTTGAAGAATGTTGAAGAATGTTTAAGAATGTCGAAGAATGTCGAAGAATGTTACATAATAATGCAGAATGTTACAGAATGGTACAAAATGTTCCATAATATACGAGCGGATGGTCAAATTTAAATATAGTCCCCACGAGAAGAAGCTATTTACACATACGGAGTGGCCCAAAAGTCTGGAAAGGGTCAATTATCTCATAAAGTAATAGTCCTAATTGTACAAAATTTTGAACAATTAGGACTAGCAATTTACGAGATAATTGGCCGTTTCCAGACTTTTGGGCCACTCTGTAAAGTACCTACTTACCTATATTTCTGCATAAAAAAAACTTAAAAGTGTTGTGTAAATGTGTATCTGTAATTGTTTTTAATATTAATGTAGTTTTTAAATCAACATTAAAAATTGAAAAGCCTATATTTGGATAAATTTTAAATTGGTAATACTTATAATGTTGAAATATTTGCTCATGAAATATAATAAAGAGTAAGTTATAGAAGTTTTAGTCAATTATATTAAAAATATGCATAAATAACTGTGTTGTATGAAATTAGTTTCCATATCAATAAAAAAATTTTAGTTTTCAAAAAAACATTTTATAATATTGAATTATTTGATAGAAGTTCAAAAATATTTCAAGTTTACTAAAATTTTTAAAATTTTATTTACGTTTAAAGGTGGATAAGAAATGAGTCAGTAATTCTCATCTGACCCTCTTTCGACAGGTCCGTTTTATGTTACATAAATCATAAGTGTTTAAATACGAGTATATGGTAGTATTCAAACAATACGATTAATTGGACATAATCATATTTTGAGTGGTAATTAAAATTATTATTAAAACAAACCTATTTTAACCGTATTGAGAATTACTGCCCTGTCCACTCATTATCCATAGTTTTTCCAAACACAGAATTTTTCCAAAGTATGTGTGTTAATCAGAAAATTTGTATTAAGAAGTTATTAAAAGTTAGTTATTTGTTCACAAACAATTAGACATTCCAACAACCTGTCAGACTGCTGCCTGTGGGCATTGATCATAGCTCTCAGGAAGTCTAGATATTTATTTATTTACCGAAACAGGCCTATAGGCCTTATTACATGGATAAGTTTATACAGATAAAGTTTACTAATTTTATATAATCAGAAGAAAAGAAAATATCAGAGTGAGCGAGTTTCAGAATTGCAGGTTGCAAGGGATCAAATTCAAAACATAATTTAGCTAAAAATATTTATAAGACATTGAAACATTAAAATGCGAAATCAATTTATAGATATATTCCAGTCAAGATCATGGAGATAATTTAAATTGTTCGCCATCCGAAGTATGTCCACAATAGGAGATCGAATAGTAGGTAAGAGGGGTATATAGAATATGTACCATTGACACTGGTGGACACTGTACCAACAGCGAACGAAAGAACTGAATAAACCATAAAAAATGTATATATTCTACCATAACCTTGCGCCAATGATGTCCTGTCAGTAGCGCCCCCTTAAAATTCAGTTAATATGGCGCCCAGCATGTAGGGTTACTAAAATCTATGGCATTTGCAGGCCTGGTGGCTTTGACAGGGTCTTCGAGATATACAGTTATATAGATTGCTCAAAGGAGGTCGCATTGTGAGCGGCCATATTGCCTCGCATGTGCTCATTAATCAGAATCGGGTCAACAAAAATGTGTTTTAAAATCAATTATTAGCCTTTAATTATAGTAAAAAGGAATTTTCTTCATTTTTTCTTCAAGTCATGAGCTTATGTTTAGAATGCTTAATAGTCAAGTACTGAGAGAACGTGGTAATAAATTAATAATGAACTATCATACTTACTTCGATGATTGTCTGTCCCAAGAAATCATCAGATTCTCTAGTCAACTTTTGCCGAAGTTTGCTTTTCAGATCATTATCTTCATCCCACACTCTGACTTTAATTCTATCAGAAGAATTATGACATTCACTAAAAAAAAAATAAATGAACAAATAGTCGTTATTTATGTAGACAGGCATTAGCGCATGTATGCAGATATAGATATTTTCAAAAAGTAGTACCCAGAGTATGCTGTATAAGCCATCTTTTATCTCTTTTTACATATAAAGCCTCTTGGTACTCATATTTTTATTACTTATTTAATTTTTTTTCCGTGAGTTTTTTTTATTAATGAGTATTTGAGAAAAAGTCAACATGATATATACATGGTATTATGTGGACTCTACCAGATTTTACAAAGATTATAAATAGTAATTTGGAATACTTACAAATAAAATTTCTCGTCCCAGACCGGGTTCAACTCCTGAGGCATCGTTCTTGTGCGTTTCTTGACTTTTCCTACTTGGACTGTAACGTATGGATCTGAAGTTCCACTTTTGTCTTTAGCTATTAATCCTTGTGCTGATTTAACTAAACCCCAAATAAATCAAACATTAGTTTATTCGAAATTAAAAAAAAATACGTTTCAATTTTTACATAAATATGAATAATTAAGCTTTAAATTTTAAGAAGCTATTTTCCTCGACAAATACCCTATGTTGTAAAAAAAATAATTAAAATTACTACATAGATTTCAACCTCTAGAACGAAAACATCATGGTCGCCAATCTAGAAAGTTGAAAATAGCAAGAATACTTTTTTGTCGAGAAAAAATGTACCTGATAACATTTATTTAACAAATAAATATTTACATAATGCAACACATCCACAACATTCAAGATACAACACTTTGACAGTTGACATCAAATAAAAGAGTTTATACGACACATCGTTACGTCATGCACAGCTGATAGAAGCCAGTATATTTTTGATGTATTTGTTGGTTTCAACATTAAAGTGTTTGGAAGTATTAAAGAGTACTTTTTACCTGTAAGATCTGGCCATATTATCGGTTTCCTGTGAACACTCCAGTAAACATTTTATCAAAATCAATACAGTTGTATGTTTAGAAAAAGGAAAATTAAAATCAAAGTTTTTTATGTGCATGTAAAGAATGTTGAGTATTAGAAAGTGGTGAAATTTGTGGAATTATGTGTTTTCTATACTTTGACATGGATTTAAAAATATATATTTAAAGACGGGTCCTACTAACTGCGCCATGTAGGTTTTAAAATCTTCTAAGGTAGTATATGACTTTCTGTGTTGTTGTAAGCGTAAAATATGAAGTAAAAGAATTTTATAAAGGTTTAATATGTTTTATCTGAAAGATAAGTAGAGAAATATTAAATAAGAAATAGAAGTCAGTATTGTTTCTGAAAAAGATATTGAATTAAAATATTTAAAACTCACGACTTACATAAACTAAAAATATTATCAACCAAAAGTTTTTCTGTTTATCTGCTTAAGACGCGTACACGTGATTATATGTGACTTTTTATACATTGTTTAGAAGGCCAAAAGAAAGGTCTTCGCTAATTATCTAATTACCTCCCATTCCGAAGTTTTAATTTTTTGAACCTTATTTGTCTGTATTATATTTTAATTTTAGTATTTAAAAGTAGAAGCCTATGGGTATATTTACGTGTAATAAAAAAAATGTTTTTAAAATATCCTTAAAAAAGAAGAATTGTGATGCGTGTGCTAACCTAATTTAGCACCATTTTTTTTGTATCACTTCATATTAAATGTGCATTTTCGTTTCTTTAAATTTGTACATATCATGCCTGGACACTGGTAATACGAGAGTTTTTCCAGCTTCTGCCTATTCTACCTTTTTCACAGCTTACGTTGCATAATATTATATATATTTTCTTACCTCTTCACTCAACCATTTTATTTACTTATTAAATGAATATAAATAATGATTCTAAAAGCATAATATTCCTGCTGAGCGGTCACACACATATTTCAGAGAAGCCTTTTGTTATTTTACGCTTGTACTACGCTGAATAGTTTCCACATTATGTTAAATTCCAGTGTCGAAAACCTTAACGAGCATAATAAAAACAATTACCTTTTGCGGCGTGAACATTTTCAGTTGATAATAGAGATTTTCTAGAGTGGAATTTTAACTAAAAAAATCAGAGCCAGGGCTTCGTTACGTAAAATGTTGTGCCACTGGATTTATTATTACTGTTAAGTCTTCAGATTTATTTAATATATTTAAATTCGGATTAATTAATTACGAGGACTGTTTTATTTTCGTTGGGTCTATCTAGTAGGCGATTAATTTTGCAACAAATTTTGTCTGACATTTCAATTTAGTTGTTTACAAGTTTAGTTAGTGACAGTTGTCAAATATACCTGATTGTAAGTGACAAGTTTAAAATAATTCTTTTGTCAATATGTCATGGAATTGAACAAGGAGCATGATCAGGCTATGATTTTTTACAATTTTAAACGTGTCTTAATCCTTAAATAATGTTTCAACGTGGTAGACTTTCCTTAAATGACAGTTTTACGAGCCAAAAAACGACAGTTACAACAAAAATATTGGAACATAATCAAAGAGGACCGGCAAATTACTATCAGAAACATTCAAACAACTTTAAAGATTGGTGTGAATACAATTAACACTATTTTACACAAATATTTTTCAAAGTCCTTAAGGTTTGTTCTCGGTTAACTTTAGTTCAAAAAGAAGACCGTGTGGGATGGTGCAGCTCTACACTAAATCGCTTTGACCGTGGATCATCTAATTTGGTGTACATCATCACAGGTGATGAAACATGAGTATACTGCTATGATCCCGAACAAAATTAACAATCGTCAGTTTGGGCATTTGAGACTGCAACGGCTCCAACAAAAGTTGTTCGAAACAAAAAGATGGTCAGGACTTTTTTTTGGAATTACTAGGCATGTTTCCACTGTAGCATTCAAGGTAAATGTACTGTTTATTTAGAATGGTACAATACAGTTTTTTTGCTTCAGGTTCTTGAAAAGGTTCGCAAGAATCAATATATTCATCAATTTTTGAATTTAAATTCGACTTAACAAACGCCGCTTACGTTTATTAAGACAAATTCAAACTAATACGTCGCGTAGAACTGTCAGCCATGAAATTCATGACTATCTGCGATACGATCGTGGTATTCATAGCCATTAGCCAGTAGAAGGATCATTTTACATCAAAATACCTTTCAGGCTCACATTGCTGCTCGAACAAAAATTTAAATGTGTAACGGTCGATATTGTCGACAATGGAATACAGTTAGGTGTATTTTGTATTGCGGTACTCACGGAACCTTATTTTTTTTTCTAGCGCTGTGTGAACATAGCCTTATTTTTCAAATAGGAGTTCGGTGGGTTGACTTTGTCAATAGTCATTGTCAATGTTAGTTGTCAATAGGGCCTGTCAAAAACTCAAAGAAAAAAAAATGACAGGTACTGTTAAAGGCTGTGTTGGGCTGAAAAAATTTGAATTTACTGTGAAATATAATCTTTGCCAGCCGTAAAGGAATTATACAGTAAATTATAAAAATCAACTTGGAGAATTTGTGTTTGGAATGTTGCGTATTTTTGTTAAATTTCTCCAAATTTAAACCTTTATTTTAGGGATTTATTTTCCCTTCAACACTTGTCCCTAATTGATTTAAGGAATGCCTCAGTGTTATTCGATGGATTGCTATAGGAAATACTGGATATGACTTCTTATTTTTGCAGGTTTTACATCGGCCAAAGAAGCGGTTAATGCCTCTCAAAATGAAATAAAAAAATGTTTTCAAGAATGGTTTTCGTGGATGGAAATCTGCACTGACTGTGGGGAAGAATATTATAAAAAAATATAAATATTTTTTGCAAATAAACTGTGTTTTACTTTACTAGGCTCAACATATATTTTGCCGTGATGGTATTGCCCCAATAGTCAAAGGCTGGCCAATCAAATGAGCTGTCTATTTTTGACTTCAACGACAGTGTCGCTTAAGCACACATGAAATACAATATTAATTATAAATTCCTTACTAACTGGTGTTCATTTCTTGGAACATCCAAACTCCAGCTCTTTCAATAAAATTCACAATGATCCAGATTTGGTACGTGCACGCCGAGGAAGAGAAGTCTGTTTCAGAAAGCTACAACAGCACACGTTTAAGGAAGGACCTAATTGGTAAAGCATTAGAAATTTTTTAAGACACTGAGACATATTGGTATCTTAGCCAGTGGCTGCTCGTGACTTAATACACAGGTGGTGCCAAGCCAGTGTATCACGCTCAAATTTTGATCACCCTCAAACAAAACACACACAAAACAGTAAATCCATTTTTTTGATCTCATCCAAAATTACAGTTATTTTTTAAATATATATTCCAATTAAACTTTCTTATACGTCTGTTGAAGCTTGACGAACTAGAGATGGAAGCCTTTTCCGTTTTTGTGATTTCTAAATCGAGAAGAGGTCTTCCAAATTCTTTGATTTGAATTCTGTCCTTGAGGGGGTACGTTGAAAAAGGTTTCATTAATATATTGCTTATTTTATTTGCCTCGGACAATTTGTAAACAGTATAAAATGAAAAAAATAGATACCTAACCTGTACGGCCTCAAGCCATAGCGGATTGCTTCGCAAAATATTGTACAAAAAATAAGAAAAAAAAAAACAACCAGCTTATCTAACATGTGGTGACCGATGGTGGCTCCATGCCGCACACGTTAGATACATTAGTTATATGTTTTTATAATTTTATGTATAAAAGTTGCGGAGCACCCCGTAATGGCTATTTTAATAAGCGCTATTTCGTTCAGGCGTTCTTTTGATTACATCGAAAAGAATTTTTAAAAATTACATTCCTAAATCAGAAAGATTAATGCTAATAAAATAGTTACTATTTTTGCGAAGTATTGACTGAATAAGTTATTGCAGATTTTGAAATAAAGTTTTAGAGCTATTTACACAAACTGTATATGTAGTAGAGATCCGCAGTGCTTTCTGATGGTAAAATTGTGATGAGGTAATTTTGGTTTTATTGTAATTAGATTTTCTTGTTTCGCATTTAGATTCTTTTCATATGACTATAGAGAGTAAATAAACTGTGTTTTGATTTGAAAGGTATAGTAAAGGAAATACATCCCAAACTATGTAAATGTGCTTTTTCGTTTTTATGTTGAATGGAAACATTTATTTGTCATCACAGAGACTATCTAATAAAAACCAATAGGTAAATAAATTCAATAATTCAAATACGTGTAAAATAACTCTATAAAATTGATCAATTTGTAAACCACGTAGAAAAGAATAAACAACTTTGGTTGATCATTATTGTTTTTCCTAAACCATAAGTTCAATAATTTTTAAACATGCGTTTCTAAACACCATTACCATTTTTAGAAGGATTTAACTTACTTATATCTTATATCACTGCATCTTATGCAAAACTTCAAACAGAAAAACTTTTGATTTTCATAATAAAATTTATTATTTGTATAATATGAGAACTTTTGAAGTAAATGTGCTCATATAATCTTTAATTTAAAA